TGGTCACACCCCCTTCAGGGTGGGGGTCCCCACTGGGGTGCCTGGCCAGCCTGGGTGAGGGGCTGAGGGCTGTTTTCAGGCTGGCCAAGCCCCCCGGCGACTGGAGCTCCCAGCCTCTCCTTTTTTTCTTTCTTTTTTTTTTATTCTGGGATTTATTTACCTTCTATAATTGAAACGTTGTTGCCTTTTGCGGAGACTACAGCTGGCCGTGGGAAGCTTGGCTTCCTCCATCACTGGAGCAACCAAGACTCCTGCTCGCTCCAGCTCTGTGGCCACGGCCAGCTGAAAGCAGGTATCTGGGGTTTATTTATCTTCTATAATTGAAACTTTGTTGCTTTGAGTGGAGCTCAGAGCCGCCACGGCAGGCAGGAAGCTTGGCTTCCTTCATCATCGGGGCAACCAAGACTCCTGCTCACTCCAGCTCCCTGGCTGCTGGCCGCCATCTTGGTTGGGTTAATTTGCATATAGTCGCTCTGATTGGCTGGTGGGCGTGGCTTAAGGTGTAGCAAAGGTAGGTCAATTTGCATGTTTGTCTTTTATTAGTGTAGATAGTTTGGTGTGTCAGAAATTCAGGAGCAACCTGGCTGGGTGGTTTTGGCTCAAGGTCCTTCATAAGGTTTCACTCAAGATTTAGGCCTAGAATACAGTCATCTGAAGACTTGATTGTGGATGAAGCAACTACTTCCCAGCTGGTTCAGTAACATGGCTATTGCCAGAGGACCTCAATTCCTCAAGAATTGTCAGTTACTCCTCATATGGACCTTTCCATAGAACTACTTGAGTGATCTCATGATGTAACAGCTGGTTTCCCTCAGAGAAAGAGAGCAAAGCGAGAGCAAACAAGGATGAAGCCACAATGCCTTTTGTGCCCTAATTTTTTAGATCCCGAACTGTCACTTATATCACATTATCTTTATTAGAAACAAGTTACTAAGTACAGATCACACTTAAGGGGAGCAAATTAGGCTCTGCTTTTTTGAAGGGTGAAGTATTAAAGAATTTGTGGGTATGTTTTAAAACCACCACATTATTCTAATAGAGGTTTGGTGATGCTTTTGGGGATCAGGAATATTTGTTCATTTTGTTCATTGTTGTATCAGCACTGCAAATAGTGCCCTGGAACATGTCAGAATAAAGCCTTATTCCAAAGAAAATACTCATGAACTTAAGTCCATAGTTACCCTTTAAGATTGCCATTTATTGTACTGTAAATGTATAAAGATTCCAGTTAAGATTTTTTTCATATTAAAACAGTATTAATTAGAGCTTTTATTTTTGCCAGTATGATTTTTTAGATATATTTTCACCCTTTATCTATTGCTAACAGTCTGACTCAGTTCAAGTAGAGCAGCAGTCGCCAACCTTTCGGATCTCATGGACCACAGGTTGGCGACCACTGAGATAGAGGATTACAACTTGTTGCTAAATTTATAATTTACTAGAGGCCCGGTGCACGGATTCGTGCACGGATTCATGCATGGATGGGGTCCCTCAACCTGGCCTGCACCCTCTCGCAATCCAGGACCCCTCAAGGGATGTTGGATTGCCAGCCTGTGGGGATCAGGCTGAAACTGGCAGTCCGACATCCCCTGAGGGCTATAGCAGTTTCTAAGTGGCAGGCAGCTGGGGAGGATCCCAAGCTGCAGCCGGGTGCCCCGCCACTCACGCTCCCCGCTGCTCCAGCCGCCGCTGCCTGCCGCTGCTGCCTGCCGCTGCTGCAGCTGTGCTCGTCAGCTATGAGGCCGGCTTCTGGCTGAGTGGTGCTCCTGCTGTGGGAGCACACTGACCACCAGGGTGCACCTCCTGCGTTGAGCATCTGTCCCCTGGTGGTCAGTGCATGTCATAGCGATCAGTCGTCCTGGTCAACTGGTTGTAACGGTTGCTTAGGCCTTTATATATATAGATATGGGGGAAATGTATGTGTATACTCTATGTATGTTAATAGCTATCCATGGCTAGACAGATAACATAAATTCACTTACAGAACTATCGTCTTCTAATAAATATGAGTTGGTGATAGGAAGTTAGCAATAGCTCAAATATTTAAATCAGGTATTTAAATAAAAAATTAAGTCCTTATCAAACTTTGAGAAGAGCACAGATAGCAACATTTGAAATAGTAAATAAGTGTATTAATTTCAAAACTGCAGAGGGTCTTTTAATATTCTTACATGGTAGATTTTGATTTTTCTAATTTAGACTAGGTTCTTTTTTGGGATTAAAATACCTGAATGATCAATTGACTAATGTAAAGCATAAGTATATCATTATTTACACACATTAACTTTTAATTGTCATAAGCCATTATACATTACTTATCATACATTATACATTGCATACATTATATATTAATCACCATAAGCCTAAGTTTGTATTCTTAGGTTTAACTTTTTTAATAAACCAGTGCTAAAAGAACAATATAGTGCTTGATGGAGAAGCAAAGATATAACATAGTGTACTAGAGTACCAAATAATTTGGTCACATACCCCAGTCAGCACTTCTCCAAATAAATTTGCTTATTTACTTATTAATTGTGTGTGTTGTTGTTATTGTCAGTCTTAAGGATGAAATATACTTACAGCAAGATTTTTCAAGAGGAGATGTAAAACTGTTTTCAAATTGTCATTTTATAGTTATACTAGTGGCACAGTGCACATTGAAAGGGAATTAATCTGAAGAAATATTTTAATACCGCTATTCACCCTTTCTCTATAGTAGAAGTGTCAACCAAATTCACGATCGATAGTGACAGATTGAAACACACACGTGTGATTGGCGCTAGCGAGAGCTTTATGTGTATCGTGCATACTCAAGTCAACTTAGCCTTGCATATGTATGTGTGTGTGTATGTATCGAATTTCATGCACCGGGCCTCTAGTCTATAGATAAACTTGCTTACGTAGACCTGCTTTCTGATTTAGCTACACTTTTTCCAGCCCAGTGAAGCACCCCAACTTCTCTTTCAGATAATTGTCAGCAACACAGTGGTAAATACCAATATGAAGCAGGTCATTATTGTAGATCACGAAGGGAGAACAAAGGGTAAAATATGTAACTGCAGCAGTGTTTGACTATATTCTACGCAGTGAGAAAACCTGAAGTCATTTTCAAGGTCCACCATTTCTTACTTCTTTTCAGTTGGGTCAAGTTTCTAAACTTTCTAAATCTCCGTTTTCCAGCTAATGAAAAGAAAATAGGATCCCACTGATTCTCCTATCTACCTACTGTAGGACTTCTGTGAGGATCAAATGAGATGAGGCACAGGAAAAGGCTTCACAGACATTTGGTTAAAGTGTAAAATGTTTGGAGGCTAGTTGCTAGAAGCTGGGCGTTGCTAGGTGATGTCATTACTCAGCGCCCACAGTGACTGTTTCTGGGCTGGGCTGGGCTGTGGGCCGCATTTTGTGCCATGGGGTCTAGGCAACGTTGGCTGTGATTTGGTGGGCTGTGGCTCCGGGGTGGTGTTGGGGCCTGTGTCCCACTTGGGAGAAGCCGAGTGTTGCTTTGTCAGCACCAGGTCCACGGTGCTGTTTCTTTGTAAATGGCCAGTGCGCATTACGGCAGCTCCTGCATTGAGCATCTGACCGCTAGTGGTCATAGCGGATGTTCGGAGGGACACTTAGCATATTAGCCTTATATATATAGATGAGGTTTTTTTACTAACTTGTCTGATCAGATTTTTTGTTGTTATAAAGCTAACAAAGGTTTCACTAGAAGCAGAAGTATTAATTTTGCCTTTTTGTTTTGTGCTTGTGTTGTTATTTTGTTTAATCCATTGTTTCTTTGTAGGAATCTTCTGCAGCTTTATTGTGTGAGTAAAAACTAAGTCACATCCAAAATTCCATTGAACTGGGCACACAAAAACTGTCATATATGTCACAGTTTACTGAAAAAGAGCCAGCAGGTAAGCAAAGTATCTCTACATTGAGGACTTTATATTTTTCCCTCCAGATACCTCAGTGTCATACATGACATGTGATTATGGTCTTACTTAAGGCCAGTTTTTCCTCCATATGTTAAATATTTATAAAGCTGCATTTCTAATTTTTTATATGAAAATAAATGCAAGTAGAAATTCTTATATTTTCCTTTCACATACCCTTGGCTTCAATTGTACTTTCCACTTTGGAGACTATTTCTTTGAAGTTATTGTTAAGGTAACTGGATCTGGAGTCATATTATTGTATTATGGAGCAAACTACTTAAATACTTAATTTTAACCTTAATTTTTTTTATCTTTAAAATAAACTGCAGTATTTACCTCTTTAGGTTGTTGAGGGGATTAAATAACATAATGTGATACTTGCTATTGTATTTTATAAGTACATGTTTGTTTTTCTTTCATGCTTGGAAGCAATTATACTTCTTATTTTAATGCAATAAAAATATGTAACTATTGTATTTATTGACTATTCCATATACTGTGGGATAATATTTTGTTTAGTTCCCGCATTGTATACATAAAATCGAATTGACTAAGTAAACTTATATTTAATACATATGAAATAATGTCATATTTAGTAAAAGATGCTACTGTTTACTACTATTATTTCTCAATCATCATAACTTAGTATTCAAGTTATTCAAATGTTGGTGGCTTTTCTTACCATAATGTATACCATTGGTAATTTTGAAAGGTGGGGTAGCATGTATTTGACTTGGCTCATCATTATTTTCTTTTAGAGAATTTTATCTGGCCCTAACTTATTGGACTTATTTATGGTGGGTCCAGTTGGTTCTTTTTGGTATTATATATACTGTTTAAAGAAGTTAACTGTTACCTTTGACATGAATGTATTCCTCTTAATGTAATTGAAACCATCATCATATCATGTGCTAGTAATGAAATCAACAGATATGTATTGAGCACTTATATGTAAGGTTCTTTTCTGAGATAATTTGGAGAATCATTTTCCAATCCTTAATGAGCTTTTGCACTATAGTAGTTTTGCATATGAATATCTTTTTGGTAGGTTACATTATAAAAGTCTTAAATACCTTAAAGGAACCAAACTTTAAAAGATATTTTTGTGGGTAAAGAGGCCACATAACTTTTATAACATAGTACATATTAATAAGGTACACTTGAGAAAATGAGAACTGCTTGCATATTAAAATATTGGGTGTTGATTATTTTATTTTTACTTTGTGTTTTATTTTTTAAATAATCTGTATTGAGAGAGTATTATTATATAAACATTAAGACTTCAATATAAGTAATTTTTAGAAATTGGTTGACACTCTTGAATTGCTTACTAGTAAATAAATGAAACTTAATTTACAAAAAAAAAAATAAGGTACACTTGATGTTTAATAGCATATGATTTGGCAAGTAGCATATATGTTCAAACAGTACCCCCACCAATCACCAGTATGAAAGTCATTGCTGTGACTCTTATTTTTAACTCTGTTTTTCAGCAATGGATCAAGAATCCAACAAGGCTGCCTGGCCCAAACCAGCGGGAGGATATCAGACAATCACAGGCAGGAGATATGGAAGAAGACATGCCTATGTCAGTTTTAAACCTTGTATGACAAGGCATGAAAGAAGCTTAGGTCGAGCTGGTGATGACTATGAAGTGTTGGAACTAGATGATGTTCCAAAGGAAAATTCCTCAGGTATGTACCACAGAATTATTTAAAAACTATTAATAAGACCGAAGGAATTAATCTTGTGATATTTGAAATTGTGAGTGGGTTTTATGTGTGTCTATGAGTAAAAATGCTGTACATTTCTATGAAGAAATTCTATTCTGAAATTTTTAATTAATTTAAATTTTTATTGAATTAATATCCTATGTAGTAAAAGGGTAATATGCAAATTGACCCTAACAGCAGGACGACTGGGAATGACTGTCACTATGACACACACTGCCCAGGGGACAGCAGAAGCTCAATGCAGGAGCTGCCCCCTGGTGGTCAGTGTGCTCCCACAGGGGAAGCTCTGCTCAGCCACAAGCCAGGCTGACAGCTGCCAGCACAGTGGTGGTGGCGGGAGCCTCTCCCGCCTCCTCAGCAGCACTAAGGATGTCGGACTGCAGCTTAGGCCTGCTCCTCGCTGGCAAGTGGACATCTCCCGAGGGCTGCCGGGCTGCCAGAGGGATGTCTGACTGCCAGCTTAGGCTCGATCCCCTGGGGAGCGGGCCTAAGCCAGCAGGTGGACATCCCCAGAGGGGTCCCAGACTGTGAGAGGGCACAGGCTGAGGGACCCCCCCGAGTGCACAAATTTTTGTGCACCAGGCCTCTAGTTAATATTTAAACATAGAAGAAAATAGAATATGGCCAATTATCAAAATATAACTACACTTTCATATCAGTGATTACATTGTCACATCCTTCAACCAGAGGAAATCATGTTTTAATCAAATACATTTTTAAAATGTTAACTGAGTATATTTTTCCCTGCATATTAAGTTTAAATTTTGTTTTTTAAAATTGTCTCTTGAAGCAATATAGCTTGGCTCATTTGATTTTTTTTAAAAATCATTTATAAAATATAAATGTCAACTAATTCTTAGTTAAAATTTCTTAACCATTCAGTAGTTTGAAAAGTATTTTGCAGATATTCATGTATTAAAATACATGATTTTGGACTAGAATGCCATCTTCCTCTTGTTCTGAACAAACTTGATAATTCTAGATTATTTTTACTGTCTATAATAATAAAAGCATAATATGCTAATTAGACCGACGTCTTCTGGAACACCTTCTGGAGGAAGCTGGGGCTGCAAGGGAAGCCCAGGTCCCGGGTGCCAGAGGGAAGCCGGTGCCGGCAGCTGGGGGAAGGAAGGCCTACTCTTGCATGAATTTGGTGCATCAGGCCTCTAGTTTATATATATATAAAAATCTGAATTATTATGTAAGGTCATTCTATTAAAGAAGCCTATTGGTGATAGGACAAGACTGATCTTCAGTTATTTATAATTTATAAATTTTTGTTCAATAAATTTCATGTCTTCATTTTTATTATTCCATTAGTAGTGATAAAAGATACTCATGCTAAAGTAATTTATAGACTTGATATGATTTTATTCTTGTATCAAGATTCTGACAAACTGTGGCAAAGAGAATTAACATTGACTTTTTCATTGTTTTTCATTCATAGCTGTAACATACCTAAAGTTAACTCATTATAGCTATATTACTAAGATATAATCTTCTGAATTGACATCAAACACAGTGCAGTCTCATTTCTGTTATATCTGTAATCTGATCTTATATCTGTCATAAGTACTTTGAATTTTTTTTTTTTACACCTGCATGTAATAGAAAAGTTAAGTTTGAATTGCACAACCCAAGAACTGGGAGGGCAGTGACTTCACTTAAGCCTTTTATTGTTTGGTCTTTCATTAGCCTCTGCTTTTAATGTATTTTACAGAATGTTTTAAATATTAGGATTTAGTGGAAAACCTGCAAAAGATATGTGAGATGATACTGAGTGACTACACAGTGGCATAAATGAACTCATAGGGTAACCATTCTGCCCTCCCAGTAAAGTAAGGGTACATAGAAGCACCTGTCAGAGAAATTCTTTTATAATCTCAAAGAGGTAATAATTGATATGATTTTTACTTAAATAGCCAGTATTAAATCAAATTTTATCTAAATTAATCTCTCCAAATATGTTTTCTTTTGTTCTCTACAAAGGTTCCAGTCCATTGGATCAAGTTCAATCTTCTTTACCCAACAATCCTTTATTTGAAAAAAGTGAAACAGAAATTCCCATTTGTGATACAGCATTGAATCAGACCATTGAGAGCAGTCCATCCTTTGCTGCAGTACAACATAGTGGGGAAGGCAGGGAGACCTTAGGAAGCAGTACAAATCTTCATAATAACTCTGAGGGAGAATATACTCCAGCAGCCTGTAATGCCTCAAGTGTCCAAAATGGAATTGCATTGGTTCATACTGACTCTCATGATCCAGATGGCAGACATGGAGAGGAGGATAATGACCGTCTTCAGCCTTCTTCAGAAGTTGTGGAAGGTGGTAGATATCAGGAAGCTTTGGGCAGTACAATATTTGAGTTGGAAAATGGAGAGGTAGAGGCAAATACAGGTCTTTTACCACCAGTTCCCGCTCTTAGCTGTGAAAAACGAGATGATTTTGAAGAGTTTGATTCAGCTCCTTTAGTGAAAAGTTCTACTGGTGACATTGTCAGTCAAACCAACCAGGAATTTCGGAGGTCCTCCTCTGAAGAGGAGATTATTAGAAAGAAAGAACAAAATAATACTAGCCAGGAGAGAAAGAGAGAAAATTCAACTGAAGATACAGCCTGTGCTCTGGGGCATATTTGCAGTGAACAAAATACCAGAGATAGGGACAACAAGCAGGGAAGTTCTCCTGAACAGGTAGTGAGGCCTAAAGTTAGAAAACTGGTAAGTTCAAGCCAGGTGAACCAAGAATCAGGTTTTAATAGGCATGAGGCTAAGCAAAGAAGTGTTCAGAGGTGGAGGGAGGCTTTGGAAGTTGAGGAAAATGGCTCAGATGACCTCTTGATAAAATGTGATGACTACGATGGAGAACATGATTGTATGTTCTTGGATCTACCTTTTGCACGAGTTACACAGAGTGAAACAGAAAATAACCAAATAACATCAGAAAGTGGAGCCACAGCAGGAAGGCAAGGAGTTATGGATAACACCTTTTGGAATGGCTGTGGAGATTATTATCAACTGTATGACAAAGATGAAGACAGGTAAGGTTTTATTCAATACTTTGTCAGATCGTGTAGTGAGCGAAGTGATTTCTTTCTAGTACAATGATGTTTGATGGATGTATTCTCTGGCATCTCAGGGAATTAGATATTTTAACTTATCAAATACTTTTAAAAAATGTATATTTGTATTGATTTCAGAGAGGAAGGGAGACAGGGAGAGATAGAGATAGAAACATCAGTGATGAGAGAGAATCATTGATTGGCTGCCTCCTGCATGACCCTGCACTGGGGATTGAACCCACAATCTGGGCATGTGCCCTGACGAGGAATTGAACTGTGACCATCTGGTTTGTAGGTCAGTGCTCAACCACGGAGCCACACTGGCCAGGTTTAAATACTCTTATTTACCAAGTGCTAACCATACATGCAAAGTAGTGGTTAGTTTTTTACAGAAACTGTCTTTGAGGTATTTCAGGAGTTCACAGAAATTATAACCAGGTGATTGTTATTACAAAAGAATAGATACTAATTATTTTAATTCTTTGTATCTCAATTAATGAATTGCAAGGTGAACATTTATCATAGTTTTAAAAATTCTGTGGAAAACCAGTCTAGGTATGTTGTGTTTTTTTTAATCCTCACCCGAGGATATTTTTCCATTGATTTTTAGAGAGAGTGGAAGGGAGAGGGAGGGGTAGAGAAACATGGGTGTGAGAGAGACACATCAATTGGTTGCTGCCCAGACTGGGACCAGAGATCGAGGCTGCAACTGAGGTATGTGTCCTTGACCTGAATCAAACCTGGGACCCTTCAGTCTGCAGGCTGACACTCTATCTGCTGCACCAAACCGGCTAGGGCCATAACTTTTCTTATAATAAGCATTCTGATCCCTGTTACCTACTTTTTTTCTATTTTTCCAAAATGTAAGACAACAGAAAGAGAAATGGAGAATTTCTTTGTCCAATTGCTGAGTCTATTATCCCAGAGTCCAAATGTCCTTTTAAGCTAGTTGAAACCCTAACTATGATCAATTACAAAGCAATTTCAAGATTTTATTAGCTTGTGGAAATAATTATTTTTTTAACTAGCAGGTGCAACAAAGGAAGACATACTTTAGAAAATGAATATATTTTATGCATTTTATATCATAATAAAATTAAAATATGTTATTTTCTTTGGACATATGAATTAACTAACTTGTAGGAACAGTTGAAATAGAATACCTGTACTATCGTGGAAGTTTGTAAACTTTAAGGCTTAATAGACTATATTTTTGTAACCCACTGTTTTTTAAGTTAAGGGTAAAGATAGTTAAAAACTTTTGTCTGACGTTTCCATTTTTCCAGTTTAAATCCACAATCTTTTATCCAAAATCCACAAAGTTCTAAAAATGGATGTTGGCAGCAAAACCTGACCTGATGTTAAGTTACTTGACAGCAGATCTGGGTCTGAACTAAAATGAGGCCTTTTTTTCAAGTATTTACAAATTTTGTTGCAGTATTATGAATGCTTGATTACTGGGTGCTGGTTTAGACCCACTGGGAATTGTTAGGTAATGTTCTAAATCT